TATGTAGCTGTCTGGTTTTCCCAACACCATTTACCAAAGAGACTGTCTTTTCTTCACTGTATTTTCTTGCCTCCTTTATTGTAGNATGCTTTTTTTCAATGTATTGTTGAATTGATTTCCTAATATTTTTCGAGGATATTTGCATCTATGATCATCAGGGATACTGACCTGTAATTTTCTTTTTTTGTAGTGTTTTTGTTTGGTTTTGGTATCAAGGTAATACTAGCCTTATAGATTGAGTTTGAGAGTGTTCCCTTCTCTCTCTCTCTCTTTAAAAATAATTTGAGAAGTTTAACTCTTCCTTAAATGTTTGGTAGAATTCCCTGTGAAGCCATCTTGTCCTGGATTTTTGTTTGTTGGAAGTTTTTTGATTACTGATTCAATTTCATTACTAGTAATTGGTCTATTCAGATTCTCTATTTTATGTTGATTCAGTCTTGGAAGACTATGTTTCTAGCTATTTATCCATTTCTTCTAGGTTGTCTAATTTGTTGGCATGTAATTGTTTGTAGTAGTCTCTTATGACTGTATGTTTATGGTTGTAATTTCTCCTGTTTCATTTCTGATTTTATTTGGGCCCTCTCTTTTTCTTGATGAGACTGGCTAAAGATTCATCAATTTTGTCTCTTTTCAAAGAAACAGCTTTTGGTTTTGTTGATCTCTTCTATCTTTAAAAGTCTCTATTGCATTCATTTTCACTTTGCTTTTTATTATTTCCATTTTTCGACTAACTTTTGGCTTTGTCTGTTCTTCTTTTTTCTGGTTCCTTTAGATTTAAATTTAAGTTGTTTATTCGAGATTTTTCTTCTTTCTTGAGGTACACCTGTATTGCTATAAACTTTCCTCTTAAAACTGATTTGCTGCATCCCATAAGTTTTGGACCTTTGTGTTTCCATTTTCATTTGTCCTGAGGTGTTTTTTTATTTCCTTTTTTTTTTATTGCTTTGTTAACCCATTGGTTTTTAGTAGCACATTGTTTAGTATCTATATGTTTGCATTTTTTCCAGATTTCTTCCTGTAGTTGATTTCTACTTATATACAATTGTGATTAGAAAAGATACTTGACATGATGTTGATATTCTTAATTTATTGACAGTTGTTTGACATATGGTCTAACATGTTATCTATCCTGGAGAATCTTCCATGTGCACTTGAAAAGAATGTGTATTCTGCAGTTTTTGGATGCAATGTTGTATATACATCTATTAAGTTTATCTGATCTAATCCTTTAAGGCCCATATTTCCTGATTGATTTTCCATCTGGGTGATCTATCTATTGATATAAATGAAATATTAAAGTCCCCTGCTAATACAGTATTGCTGTCAATCTCTCCCTTTATGTCTGTTAATATGTGCCATATGTATTTAGGTGCTCCTATCTTAGGTGCATAAACATTGCCAAATGTTATATTCTTTTCTTGGACTGACCCCTTTATCATTTTGTAGTCTTTGTCTTTTGTTTTAGTCTTTGTTTTAAAGTCTACCATTTCTGATGTAAATATTGCTCTCCTAGCTTTCTTTCAGTTTCCACTTAGAAGGAATATATTTTCCATCTTATCACTTTCAGTCTCCGTGTGTTTTTGGATCTGATGTGTCTCTTGAAGCTAGCATATAGATGGGTTTGAGTTTTTAATCCATTCGGTCACCCTATGTCCTCTGATTGAGTATTTAGTCTATTTACACTTAAAGTTCTCATATATATACTTACTGCCATTTTGTTCATTGTTTTTTGGTTGTTTTTATAGTTCCTTTCTCCTTCTTTTATTCTCTTCCCTTATAGTTTAGTGACTTTCTTCAGTGTTTGCTTAGAGTTCTTTTCACTTTATTTTTTTGGTATATCTATTGTGGGTTTTTGGTTTGTGGTTCATGAGTTTCATATATATGGACACACACACATATTATATATATATATACACACAGGGATTTGTTTTGAACTGATGGTCACTTATTTGAATGCATTCTAAAAGTATTACGTTCCTACTCCTCTCCAGCCCATGTTTTATGGGTTTGACATCATATTTTATATCTTTTTGCTTTGTGTAGCCCTTAACTACTTATTGTAGTTATAATTTATTTTACAGATTTTGTCCTTTCATCTTCATATTGGTGGTTGACCCACTGCCTTCACCAGTGGATTTACCTTTACCAGTGAGTTTTTTTCCTTTCATATATTTTCTTATTTCTAGTTATGGCTAGTTGTTTTCCACTTACAGAAAACCCTTCAACATTTCTTGTGAGGCTGGTTTAGTGGTGATGACTCTAAGTTTTATCTGGAAACCTCTTTATTTCTCCTTTGATTCTGAAGGAGAAATTACCTTTGTTGGGAAGAGTATTCTTGTTTGCACCTTAAAAAAAAAAATTCTTTTAGCACTTTAAATATATCCTGACACTCTCTTTTGGCTTGTAAAGTTTCTGCTGAAAAATCAGTTTATAGCTTTAGGGGGGTTCCCTGGCATGTCATTCATTTTTTCTTGTCTTCCAAATTTTGTCATCATCTCTAACTTTTGCCATTTTAACTCTGGTTTGTGTTGATGTGGATCACATGCTTTGGGTTCACCATGCTTTGGATTCTCTGTCCTTCCTGGACCTGTATGTGTTTCCTTTCCCCGGCTTAGGGAATTTTTCTTCAAAGAAGTTTTCTGGCATTTCTTTCTCGCTTCTCCTTCTCAGACTCCCAAAATGTGAATGTTAGTATACTTGAGCTTGTCCCAGAGGCTGCTTAATGTATCCTCATTTTTAAAAGTTCTTTTTGTTGTTGTTGTGATTCAGTGACTTCTACTGTCTTCCAGTCCCTGATCCATTCTTCTGTATCATCTAATCTGCTGTTGATTCCCTCTAGTGTATTTTTTGTTTCAGTTATTATATCCTTCAGCTCTGATTGGTTCTTTTATATTTTCTAACTATTTGTTGACGTTCTCACTGTGTTAATCCATTTTTCTCCTGAGATTTGTGAGCATCTTTATGACCATCACTGAGCTCTTTATCAGATAAATTGCTTACCTTTGTTTCATTATTTTTTTTTTCCTGGAGTTTTATCTTGTTCTGTTCTTTTGAAAAAAATTCCTTTGTCTCGTCTTATTTGACATTTTGTGCTTGTTTCTATGAATCAGGTATAACAACTCCCCGCAGTCTTACAGGCGTGGCTTTGTGCACCAGATTGCTTTGTGGACATGTTTTCCAGGCAACTTGGCAAGCTGGCTTGGACTGGAGTGGGCATGGGCTGGGGATTTCCCAGGGTGTGCCTGGAGCCAGGGTTATTTTAAAAGGTGCTGTGCTTCACTGAGTCCCAGTTAAAAGGGATCTTAGGAAACATTATGATTTAAACGAGGATTTGTGACCTTGTCTGAGAAATGACTTGTCATTTACATTATTTCTATGGTGAAATGCTTTCTCTGCTTCAGGCAATTGACATACCACCATTATCGAGACAGCATTTTCTATAGGTGTAATCCTGTCCCATCAGGGGATCAGCAATGGGGAGTCACCTGGAGCAGGAAACTCCCAGGGGCTGTAGAAGGTGTCTCAAATGACGGTGAGGTTGTGTCGTCTATAAGAGGGCAGAGAGGACTTTGGGGGTCTTCCTGCCGCAGTGACTCCTTGGGCCACTGGTCCTTATGACGTAGTGCTGAGCACTGCAGAACACTGGTCAGCGCAAGAGATGAAGGCAGAAGTTGATGCTGCCAAAAATGGCGATGCTGGGAAAAGTGGCTGCTCTAAGAGGACCTTCCCTCTACCTGCACAGCACTGTTAGCACCAGAGTGGGCGTCCTTCAACTCCCCACATACTCTCTGCCTTGAGGGTCTCTGCTCAAGGTTGTGCCAGCATTAGAGGTGTGTCTGCTTACTAACTGAACTTCAGGGTTTCTCTATGCAAAGCAGCTGGTTACCATAATTAGGCCGCGACATGCTCTTGGGGCTTGCCCTCTGCACCACGCGAACTGCTCTGACCAGCTTTCCTCACTTGCCATGAAGCCTGCCACTCCCAGATGGAACACAGTGAGTCTCACCTATAATGTGAGGAGTAAGGAAGCACCCACAAAGACCCGTAGGGCCCTTTCTCAGACCCGGAACTCTCTGTCCAGGTTGCTTTTCTGGAAGGAACAGAGCCCACATATGATACCCCCGTTGTCTCCGAGAATGTTAGTGGAGCATCTTGGTTCTCACACTGTGCCAAGGTGAGGAGCTGAGGGGCAGGAAGAAGCTGGAGGAGGAGCAGCGGAGGGCATGGGGCTCTGGCCATCTGAGATATAGGAGCAATGAAGCACCAGGAGGCAGCATTTGGGTATTTTAGGCATTGGAGTTCCTCTTCACCAGCAGAGAAATAACTCTGTGTGTAGCTCAGGCAATTCATTAAACAGTAGAAAAATGAAGTGCTCTCATTGAAACAGAATGTGAATTGCATTCAGGAGATAAAAACTAGTACATTTAAATTCATCCAAAATGTAGATCTCTTTCACAAGCCTTAAACAATTTATAAAATGTATAGCATTTTGTAAGAAGGAGAAAGGGTACTGTATGTCCATTTACTGCTGGGTAAGCCAGGCCCTACAAAGGCTGTGTAAAACCCTAAACTGGCCAGCTTAGAAGGTTTCTTAATATCACCCTAAAGCTGTTCCCGAAGTGCGGTTAAGCTAAAATACTCATAAACCTGGAATTCATTTACTTGAATGTCAGCTTTCATCATTACATTTATTTATCTGGTTTCTCTCACTGAATATATTTTCCTTTCTCCAAAGCAGAAGTAAAAGTTGATATCTGCCTCCCCCACTTCTCTATAGAATTACAAATGAGCATGCGAATGGCTTAATAATCATAACAATGTTTCATGGATACTTCTGATTTATTCTCCAACACAGATCAAAATCTGACATTGTCTTATTACCACTGAACACTACACATTTTCTCTTTATCTCATCAGTTTTATCTGAATTGGATTCAGATCTTGTCTATAGAACACAGGCAGCAAGAACAAACTTGTGGACACATTATGAGATTATGAGATTATAAACACTTTGGAAAGATTAGTGAATGATCCGATGGAACTATATACATTTCAAGAGGTTGGCAGTGGTAACTAAAGTGAGCGTTGGAATATTAAAGCCTCATTTGTTATGTGAGTAATAGCTTGTCCGTTGCTTATGATTTATCAGATGTGAAATACGTACATAGTTGTTAGAAGTGCAAACTTCTAACTCTTATTTTATGATAAAATGTCTGTGACCTGACTTAGCATAGAACCCTATAAAATGCTGAGCTAAAAATCAACATGCAAATAGTGCTCTAGAAAATTTAAACAATGGTTTCACTTCTCTTCCTCCTGGCCTTCACTAGCTATTGTCTAAAACAATAAGATTTACAGGCATGTCTGAATCTCCATTAAATATGAATGTGAACGCACAGCGGTAGAGCAAGTCTCCAAACAGTTTTGCAACGAAGGGTCAAAGAGGTGTAACACCCTACTCCCCATCAGGAAAAAGGAAATGAAATATACTTTCTCATGGTTGAACTGAAGGGTGTGCTGGGGAAGGAATGAACGGAATACATACCGTGGTGTTCTCCCTGAGAGGGGTTTTCGGGTGGCTCTGAAGAGGATGTAGCTGGTAATAACTGAGAACATTCCCCACATAGACAGAAATCGCCACCAGTAAAGTTTTATCGTGAAATACAAAGGGACAACCCACATCTGCAACAGGGTCACCAGCTGTCAGAAAGATGAACAGAAAGTCTCCTTCAATGACTGAGGATCAGGCAGCATGTCTACTATTGACGATTCGGAAGCTACTCTGGGTTAGGGGTTGGGGGAGCCACCTTCACCACCCTGCCTGGGACATGGCGCCCGGTCACCACCCCACTGCAAGCTGTTCTGTACATGCAAAGCCCTGAAGGGCACAGTTATTTGAACATTCAGATGGGAAATAACCCCAAACATCCATCTTCCATCGCCTCTTGCAGATATTTCAGAGGAAAGGAACTTTAGGCTGCGACAGCTCTACGATGTTGGACAAAAGATTGCACTTTAGCTGTAAAGTTGGGGACCACAATGCCTGCTTTCCTGCGCTGACTCAGAGTGAGAGTGTTAGTCGCTTCGTCGTGTCTGACTCTTTGTGACTCCGTGGACTGTAGTCCAGCAGGCTCCTCTGTCCATGGTATTTCCCAAGCAAAATTACCAGAGTGGGCTGCCATTCCCTTCTCCAGGGGATCTTCCTGATCCAGGGATCGAACCTGGGGCTCCCGCATTGCAGGAAGATTCTCTACTTTCTGAGCCACCAGGGTGGGAAACAAATGATATCACAGCTGTAAAGGCTCTGGAAACATGCTGGGCTGCAGGGAGCAGGGGCTATAGTTGCTCTCACGGCACAGATACACACGCACAGCGATGGCAAGGGAGGAGGTGGTGTCAGGGAACGTCCCGTCTGTCCCAGAGCGCTCCGTGGGGCTAACCCTCGCATCCTGACTGTGCGGTGACCTTGCCCCTGCTGACTGGTCCTATAAATCACCGTTTGCTTCTTGCCTTTTCTCTTCATTACTGGTGCCCTTTCCAGGTGGTCCCAGGTGGGAATCAAACTCTTTCCTCCTTCTGTGTCACCCCTTGGGGCCTGTACCGCTGACCTGAGTCCCAGCAGCCTTCAGAAGGTCCCTCAAGTTGGCTGGCCTCAGTTCCGCACAGCAGGAAGCAGGACAGACTGATCTGATGGGCTGTGGGTCAGTGACTGCATACAGCTACCACAGTGATACTTTACTCTACAGACCAGGCCTAATGCCAGCTACTCACCTCCTGGTAAAAAGCAGATTGGTCAGGGAAGGGAAACGCTACCCACTGCAGTATTCTGGCCTGGAGAATTCCATGGACGAAGCCCATGGGGTCGCAAAAGAGTCAGACACGACTGAGCGACTTTCACTTTCACTTTTTTCACTGGAACAGTAGCAATAACCCTTGGTCTTTTATGTTTTAGAACATGCGACTAACTCCCTATATTTGCTCAGCATTAATATATGAGGTGGATGGCAAAGATGGTTGTCTCACGTGTGGAGTTAAATTGGTAATACTCTGTTCAGGGAGATTCTGAGCCTGGCTTCTGTCTGATCAATTGATCACGCCTGCCAGTGATGTGGAAAGAGTCATCAGAGCATGCATGTCACATGTCTGTCATCTGAGTATAAACAAGACTTATGTTGTTAGTTTCTTCATCTTTGTGATTAAAAATAGGCGCCTGAGAAAAAAGTTTCTGGGTATACTTTTGGGTCCTTAAATAAGAATTTCGTTACAATAGTCTCAAGGTCAATAATCAGAATTATTTGATAGAACTTCAAGATGTAAATGAACTGCAGCCTTTCTTCTTTCCATGTCAAATAAGAAGACATTTTCCAGGCTTTTTATTCTTTTTAATTCTTCTTGAATGGGCTGGATCTGAAGTCTTCTAACAGTCGCTCTAAATTTTCTTTCAAATTACACACAAGACGGCAGAGTAGAAGGATGTGAGCTCATCTTCTCCTGTGAGAACTCGAAAATTGCAACTCGCTGCTGAACAACCATTGACAGGAAAATTTTAGATCCTTTCTTTGGATCCCACCGAGAAAAGATACATCACATCCAAGGGTAAAGGAGAAACCCCAGCAAGATGGTAGGAGTGGCAAAATCACGTTTAGAATCAAAACCCCATACCGGCCAGAGATGCCCAGAGGGCTCAAACAAAACCTTGTGCACACCAGGACCCAGAGACCCCCCAGAGACTGATCTGCTCAGTCTCTGGCTGAGGAGGCCTTACCAATAGCTGAGAAAAGAAGGGAAGCGAAAGGCAAAGGAGAAAAGGAAAGATATACCCATCTGAATGCAGAGTTCCAAAGAATAGCAAGGAGAGATAAGAAATCTTTCCTAAGTAATCAATGCAAAGAAATAGAGGAAGACAATAGGATGGGAAAGACTGGAGATCTCTTCAAGAAAATTAGAGATACCAAGGGAATATCTCATGCAAAGATGGGCACAATAAAGGACAGAAATGGTATGGACCTAATAGAAGCAGAAGATATTAATTAAGAAGAGGTGGCAAGAATAAACAGAAGATCTTCATGGCCCAGATAACCATGATGGTGTGATCACTCACCTAGAGCCAGACATCCTGGAGTGCAAAGTCAAGTGGGCCTTAGGAAGCATCACTACAAACAAAGCTAGTGGAGNGAAATCAGTCCTGAATATTCATTGGAAGGATTGATGCTGAAGTTGAAACTCCAATACTTTGGCCAGCTGATGTGAAGAACTGATTCCTTAGAAAAGACCCTGATGCTGGGAAAGATTGAAGGTAGGAGGAGAAGGGGACAAGAGGATGAGATGGTTGGATGGCATCACAAACTCTGAGCAAGCTCTGAGAGTTGGTGATGGACAGGGAAGCCTGGCGTGCTGCCGTCCTGAGTCGTAAAGAGTCAGACACGACTGAGTGACTGAACTGAACTGAAATCGTCTTTCAGAAAACACTACAATTGTTATTATGTATATGAATTTGAGAAGAAGGCATGGCAACCCACTCCAGTATTCCTGCATGGAGAATCCCCATGGACAGCGGGAGCTTAGTGGGTTACAATCCATGGGGTTGCAGGGTCAGACACGACTGAGTGAGTAAGCATAGCACAACATAGCATATGCATTTGAACAAAAATATACATGGTGAAGGGCTTTCCCGGTGGCTCAGATGGTAAAGCGTCTGCCTGTAACACAGAAGACCCGGGTTCGATCCCTGGGTTGGGAAGATCCCCTGCAGAAGGAAGTGGCAACCCACTCTAGTACCCTTGACTGGAAAATCCTATGGATGGAGGAGCCTGGTAGGCTACAGTCCATGGGGTCGCAAAAAGTTGGACATGACTGAGCAACTTCACTTTACATTTCTTTTTTTATACATGGAGAAAATCTGAAGTAACTGTTTGGAGAGTTCAGGAAAAGATATCTTACAACATACTTTTTTTTTTGTTTATCAGGCAGTACTTTCAGGGAAGAGTAAATATTCATTACTTCTGCCTGAATTAATCAGATCATTGCTTTCATTTTCCATCTTATTTTGTAGGTATGGCCAAAGCTAATGAATGAGTTTGCACCTTTATTTGTGAAACTGAGATAAATATGTATATGTGTATCCAAACAGGTAAAACAAGTTTTACTGAAGGAAGCAGAATAGTTTTCATGTGGGCCAGAAACCACATGCTAGGTAACCAAGACCTAAGATGTTTCATTTAGCACTCAGCATCAACAACTTTTAAGATTTTTATGTGGACCATTTTAAAAGTCTTTCTTGTGTTTGTTACAGTATTGCTTCTGTTTTATATTTTGGTTTTTTGAGTGAGGTCTGTGGGATCTTAGCTTCCAACCAAGGATTGAAACCACACTCCCTGAACTGGAAAGGGAACTCTTAGCCACTGGATTGCCAGGGAAGTCTCTGACTCTACTATTGATAATGACAGTGTGTGGTCCCTCAAAAAAGTCTCCTCAGTATTTAGGTCATTCATTTCTTATAACTGATCACCAAGATTGTTATCTATGATAAATTATAGCCTCTGGCTTTTTGAAGTTCATTACTCTGGCATTAAAGAAGGAAACGGACATGAACCCCATCTTTCCAAATCTGATCATCTGTCACTTGGCATTTTTCATCTTTTTGCTTTAAGTTATGATTCACTTTTACATTTACCCTGTAAAATGCTGAATTTTTAAAAAAATGAATAAGATTCAGTTCATTTTAATTTAGAGAAACTCTCATGCTTCTATATTTTATACTTTAGATTATAAGTAAAAATTTATAAAACTAATCCATTTCCTCTAATCAGTGGTGCTATGTTCTAACTATAGTTTGAAGCAATGACTGGATTACATTTTCATAAAGCTAATTCTTTCCCTGTAGAGCTATAAGTCTGACCCATTTCTTGAAGATGCCAAATTTCTCTTACTTGATGCCTGGATTTAATGAACAATAAATAACAATGTTCAATTTATAGACATGCTACTTTTAAAAAATAGGCCTTGGAGATGAGAAATAAAAGGAAAGTAAAAAATCATTATGATGTATTATGTATGCAAATATTAATTTCTTGACTATCTTTAAAGTGGAATACTCAGAGTCATGTTTTCTCAACATGCAAGGGGAAAGGTCAGAAGTTTGCATTATGAATTTAATAACTGCATGAGAAGTCATTTCGAAATGATGGCCACATTTCAAAGCAATTTAAAAGATTCTTTATCAATTTCCAGAAGAGTTAGAACTGCTCATTTTTAATAGTAACTGCCACATGTGAAATGTAGGAATGTTGTGCCTCGTAAGTAAGCGCATGAAATATGTGAAACTGAGGCGCGTACATGCGGAGGAGGAAGCCTGGCAGCTGGGACACATTAATAATGCCAGAGGGGTCAGCATCTGGGCATGTGTGGATAAAACACATCTGCATTCCTGGCGAAGGGCAGGATCCAGATCCCATGCATCTGGATCACATCACCCTGCCTTCCCCGCCCACACATCATGGCAGGAGGAACTTCCTGACTAAGATGCTGCTGAAAGGTACCATGTTTGTTATTGTAGCCATGCACATAATGAAAATGAAAAGAGCTGCTAATTGTGTCAAAACAAAGGAATCTTCTCATTTGTCTAGTTGTACAGAATGTTGAATGAGTCACACAATATGAAAGGAGAGAAAAAAAGGAAAGTTATGTGATGCTCTTTGCAC